AGCCCAGTTCTTTTAAGAACCAAAAACCGACAACACGGAAAACCACTAATACATATATGTAACTAAAAACTATGGATTTGTAAAGTCATAACTAATATAATTTTACAATATTAATAGATCGTCACCTGAGAATTATAGTGTTCTATCTGCATTTTTTTTTAATTGTTGTTAGTCTTGTTTTAAGTCTTAAAGATGCATATGGTTCAATATACTTATATATAATTGGGGTAGAAATTGTACAGTTTAAGGCTTAAACTGTACAATTTCTACCCCAATTATATATGTTAGGATAATCCCTTTTTTACCAAAGTAGGACAGTAGAGCAATAATGGCACGTGTGCCTACTAAGCAAAACAATCTGGGCACAGCTTAGAAATCGAATGGTAACGCAGAGTCCGCAGAACATTTGTAGAAGTCGAATATAGCAGTTTAATAAATTTAGTTAAAAAGTAATAAATAATAAGTGAAGCCAATCAAATTAGTTTTATTCAGGGTAAAATACCCTGATGTTTTACATATATATATAGATAGAATAATATGCATCTTTAAGACTTAAAACAAGACTAACCTCAATTTAAAAATAAAAATGTAGATAGAACACTATAATTCTCAGGTGAAGAAATATTATTTTTAGTACTACAGATACATTCTAAAATAAATTTAGCAAAGGAGAGTTTTTAGTTTCAATTTGGTCATTAAAAACAATATTCGATTTTTTCTTTAGTTCATTAATTTCCAAAGACTCCAGAAGATTTAGTTTGGTGCCTTTATTGGCTACATGTAAGATTCTAAAGTTATCGTCAAATTTGTGGTTCTTTTGTATTAAATTGTAAGCAAGTAAAGGTCGAAACAATCAACAGTATATATACATAGATGCCAAATTTATACAGTTAAACTTTTAAAAAATGTGGTGTTTTGGCTAAAAAACGATCTTATTTCGTTAAAAACATGATTTTTAGAGAGAATAATTTTATGAATTGGTATAATTTAATTATTTTTAGTTATCATTAAGATCGAATTCGGTTAAACAAGAGATAAGTAAAATGATGGTCATTTTTAGAATCAGCGCACCCAAATTACTTACTTACAGAAAAGTTGTTGGTTACCCTGCAGCAAACAGACTTACTCATTAATATTAATAATATTATTATATTATTTTAATATTATTATAATAATTGGTTAATTTCAAGAAATAAAACATTTTTTATTTAAATTTTACCAAAATACGGTAATATATATAAAATAGGTGGCTAAAAATAGCCATTATCTTTTAAATAAATTTTATAATGGCTATTTTTAGCCACCTAAACATTACCGTATTTTGGTAAAATTTAAATAAAAAATGTGTTATTTCTTGCAATTAACCAATTATTATAATAATTACCATCTAATTAAATAGATACATAATATTAATCATAAAATAAAATTTAAAATTTTAATTTATTAATATCAAGTTCTGCTAAGTTATAATATTACTTATATTAAGCATATATGCTTAATGGAAGTAATATTGTTCCAAAACAAGTTTTGTTTTATTTTTACGATTCACTTTATAAACTCAGTGCCACCAAAGCATGTCATATTTACCTTGAAGACTTTTCGTAATAAAGTGCAATGTTTATACTATTTTCGGATAAGAAATATACATATCTCGACAACAAATTATTAATTTTGGAATCATTATGTTAAATAGGGAATCCCTATTAGGAATGCAATTTTTATGAGTTTACAAACGGCTACTGAATAATTGTATATTTATACGAAGGTATTAAACAGAAAAACTTGTTCTTGAAACTAAATCACAAAAATATTACCGCTCTAACACTATAACACATGGGGGGAGTTATTTTAATTAACAAAAATATATATTACAAATACATGATTCTACCGGGTAGTTTAAAAAACAGAAATCTCGGTTTTTATGGAAACAATAAGGCAGCTGTAGTTGACATGACAGATGTATTTTTTTGACTGCGTGAAAAAATCCAAACTTTAAATTAGCATTTAGTACTTTGTTATTAAAAAATTTATACTTTTTAAATAAATATTTTTTTCAAGCGTATCACAATTTTCATGTTACAACACTCATATGCCTATAGAGAAAGACCATATTTGTACGCAGTTTAAAAGTCAAATTATTAAACATCGCCGTACAACAATAAAAATACATTGAAACTTTGTAGGAACAGTGGTTTCATCCAAAGAAATCAGTGTAGGTAACTATAAAATTAAGGGTAACTCTAGAATAAATTCATGAACATAACCTATAGGTTATGTCAAACTTCAACATTATCAACAAAATGTCACAAACTTAATAACTCCAATGTAAGTACAGAGTTATTAAACGCTAAAAAGAACAAGGCGGAGAAGGCATATTAACTGCCTCGCTTAGATCTGCAGCCTCGTCTAGTGCATCAATAGCGATAAGCGCTTTTTCCGCATGTTAGGTAATATATTATACCGATAAACATAAAAGATTTCAGTTTTTTGTATATTAAATGAAGGGCTTAGGGCAAAAACGATCATTGTTCATTTTTTTGTCGAAAATTCGTTAGTTTGCGACCCAAGCTTTCGGTGGCTATGTCGGTTTCAAGCAAAAACAATCACAGTCTCTGTAACAAATTTAAATAAAAAAGATATATGGAGGTTAAAAACAATCAGAAATATGAGTCTGTTAACTTTGTTTTTTTAATTCAGTAAATAAGATACCTAAGTATTCAAGTAAATATTAAAAGCGTTGAGTGAATAAATGTTAAAAGTTTTACTTGCTTTACCTTTTGAGTTTTTTAAGTAGTGAAATATAATGTATATTAAAGGGTTTTACACATTAGTGTTTCAAAAATGTTCGGTAAAATTCGATTACAATAGCATTACTCATTTAAAATGTTAATATAGGTGTACGTGTTTTAGTATAAGACATTAACAGTATACAGAATATATTTATTATAAATATATAGTATATATATTATATAAGATTGTTTTAATTAACCCTTTTTAATAAGGGTCATTTCCTTCCCACAACAATACATTTAAATATAAGTATTTTTAATTGCAAGAATAAACAACTCTGCCATCAAACCCGAGTGATTTTCTCCCATTAATTTAATAAGTAGTTAAAATGCTTATTTAAAAGAATCTTTTATTAGGTATACAATTTATTTATAGTGTTTGTTATATTTAATAATGTTATTTGAACATTTTTCTTTTCCTTGCAAAATTTTTTTTTCAGATAAAGTAAACCTAAGACCCTATAAGGTCCGATGAAGATATTTGATGGAAATGGACTATTTAGTCCAATTTCAATATTTTTTCGTCCATTTAACTTATATTTAATTTTTTAAGACCAACTTTTGTATGAAATCGATCGATTTTTTATTAATAACACTTTATAAATATATTTAGCATATAGAATATAATATAATTGTCCTTAATAATATAATATTAAATACAATTATATTATATACTATAGGCCTATTTTATTATTAATATTGTCTTTCCCATTTTTCCAATTCAAAAGTATATTGAGCAAGATTAGCACTGATTAGTCCAAGTGTCCTATCTACAATAATAAGTATTAAAGGACCAAAGTCAATTTTTATTGTTTTTAACTTTTTATTTATTAAATAGGTATACAATTATATACAATATGGTAGATATGACTAAGCAGGGCAGTTTTAAGAAATACACTTTGACTTAAAATTAAAAAAAACTAAAAGGTTTAAAAAACATCTATAAAATACCTATCTTGCCTCCACAAAGGTAAATTTTGTATGCATGTGATTATAATAATATTCCTACCAAATTTGAACCCTCTAGGTTGTCATTTACTAGTCGTCCAGAAGGTAAATATTTTAAATATTTAATAATTTTTGTTTCAAAAGCAATTTAATTTCATGTGGAAATATACTAAATAGAGTGTAAGCCTTACACTGTAAGGTAGAAGAATCGCCTAGGTGGACAAAACATTTTATTCTACTATTTGATTAATCTAGTTTTGATGTTTTACTAAATAAGTACGCATTTTTTGATAATGCAGAAACTTGGGAATTACCTACTTATATTAAAAAACCTATTTATTTTTTCATAAATTTCAAAATATTATTGTTCGAAATTGTTCAGGTTTTTAGTATTGGATAAAGGGCTTAATTTAATAAATGTAATTAAGTTAAATTTTAACTAGATATTTAAAAATAAAATTTGGGTACGTTACTGCTTTTTAATAAGTTAAATATAAGTTTTAGAAGTAGTTAAAAATACAAATTTTTGCCAACTGCATTTTTTTCTCTATTTTGTTTAATTTTTAAGAAAAAAAATTCTTTTATTTGCTCGCCCCTCTATAAAAATTATAGTCAGGAGCGTATACACAAATTTAACTTTTTTTAAGTTAAGCAAGATAGAGAAAAAATGCAATAGACATACAAGTATTTTAAATTGCCTAATATAATTTTAATACCAAACTTATACAAAGCAACGAAAACAAATCTGAGCATCTGAGGTTAACATGGTTGACATGTATTTTATAAAAGGTTAAGTCAAAAAATCAAATCACTTTATTTACTTTTCATTATAATTCTTAGAAAATTGTTTTAAGCCGTTTATAAATATGTAAAAAGTCTCAATAATTTTAATCATAATATTAAACAATAAAAAAATCAACTTTAAAAACTAATCGTAATTTTTTTATATTCCCGTTAGTTCTCCTTTTTGGAATAGGTACCCGTATATAAATTAAAATTTAGGATTTTTTTAATACCTTAATGCAATTTACTTAAAAAATTTAAAAATGGAAATATAATTATAGGAAATAAAGACAGTATCATTTTTAATATTCTAATTCAATTTAATATTAAAATTCTTGCGAAAATGTTACCATATTAATAATTAGCGGATGGTATGATGACATTTTCAATTTAATCCTAATTGGCGTTCAATAAGTTAAAATTCATAAAAGCTTTGGGTAAGTAACAGAATTGTGAGCTTCTATATTAAAATAAACTTACCCCTTAAGTTATTTTCAATTGTTTGTAACAAAAAAACAACAAAATAAAAAGTAAAAATCCACCAAAACACTTTTTTCGCAACACGAAATTTTTTTAAAATACAGAAAAAAAGTAAAAACAAGATCAGTAAAAGGAAGAAAAACGAGACGGTTCTTTGCGCACTTGATCGTTAGGTACGCGATATGTTATGTCTTGGAAGGTGTGCAATTTGCACGGGATCCGGTGGTCGACTGAACGGGTCGACGCGTCCATTTTCTGACCGTGGACACCTTCATCGTAGAGGAGCGAGCCGGTGCCCCTTAAATGGTCGATTTAAAACGCCGAGCATAACACTGTTTTTGCTCATAAATATTAGGGACTATTTTAACCAATTTAAAAATGAAATGAAGTGTATGGTCTTCCAGTCCCATATAATTGTGTCAGCTGGGAAGTAATGCTCACTAAGGCCCGGATTTTTAGGTCAAAAAGTGATAAAAGGTTCCTAAATTAGGTGATATTTTTAATAAAATAGGTATTTTAGGTACCTATATTTTATGTACTTATAAGTACATAAAATATAGGTACCTAAAATACCTATTTTATTAAAAATATCACCTAATTTAGGAACCATTTATCACTTTTTGACCTAAAAATTCGGGCTCTAATGCTCACAAAATAGGTCGGAAAGTGAGGAAGACTTGGACCGCTTTTTACATAAATATAATAAATCCTGTTGGTCGCACTTAAATATTTTATTATTATTTTTAAGAGGCCCTACTATTTAGAAACAAATTTGTATAATATTGTGTTTCAGTTAAATAACAAAATAAAAAAAAACAAATATTAAAATGTTTTGTTCAAGTCTACTCCAACATGAGGATCTGTTTCTATATCGTCCATTTTTAAGGGATAACTTTGGATTTACACACTGAAAAAAAAGGTGCCCTTAAACTAAAATAGTCAACGCTCTTGATAAAATATTATTAGCGGCAAGAAACAATATTTTACCATAAAAGAGTATTTATTGCTTAAAGAAAAAAGGTCTTTGTGGAAGAACATTCAAGAGATTTTGTATTTGTTTTCTTCTCTTGAAAACAAATACAAAATCTCTTGAATGTTTCTTCTTTCAACCACGTGTAAAGTGTTTTTGTTCAAAAGCTATGAAAATTATTTATATTTGCGCAATTCATTCAAGATACATCACAATTATCCCAATAACATGTTAATTTTCTAACAAAATCTGGTAGGTACACTATGTATTTTCGTAACCCGATTCTTTAAGCATACTGAAATACTTATTTTGGCATATTCGTGACCATCTAGTTAATTTACTTACTTTAAAAAAATTAGGACGTTTTACGTATTTACGTACATTAATAATAACGTTATTTTGAAATTGGTCAGGTTTAATGAAATCCCTGATTTAATTTAAGCCCGTTGAGTCAGAACACAGGAAAAAGGGAACATAAAAACCCTGGCGACATAGTTCAAATAAAAATAAAATTCAAAACAAAACAAAGTCATTTGGATCATAATCACGAGAATACAGTATTTATACTGTATTTATAAACCGTAAGTGAATAAAATAACATGAAAAGCAGATAAACATATTTCATATAGTATAGGTGTTTTTATCAATATTCAAAACATTTTATACTCAGGTTCCAGCACTTGACAAGGCAAGAGCATTGTAGCAGCGAGAGCTCTTAAAACGTAAAAGTTTAAAGTTTAAAACCAACAAATAATTTCTCAAAAGTGCAAACAACTACAGTGAGTATAGACTACCCTACGGTCAAGAATGAGTTAAGTGATAAGAAAGAGTTAAGTGACAAGCGAGCTTCTGGGCTCCACCCCTCAACTGGACGCTTTTCACTGGACCAACTAAAGAAAACAAAACCAACAAACTATTTTCATAAATTGCAAACTAAAATAGTGTAACCGTCAATAAAGAGTGAAGTGTTAAGTGATAAGAAAGAGTTAAGTTAAGTTTCAGCTTCTGGGTGGTCTTGTCATTGGACGCTTTTTACTAGACAAACAAAAGAGGTCAAACAAGAGGGGAAGTGGCCATCCGCAAAAATTGATAAGTATCCTCAAGCATGACCTAACACAAAATTTGGAAAATTAAATACGACAGATACCTTTAAAACCATAGGGAAGACACACTGCTAAAAAAACAATAAACATCAGTAACAATAGAAACATTAGAAAGACAATACTAACCAAACACCACAAAATAATAAAAAATAAAACTTCCCAATCGAACTATCGCGGTGATACACCAAAGCTGAGTAGGACAATAAATCTGTCAACAACAAATGCGGCATGAAACCCAGTAACTTAAAGAACGGCCCTAACCAAACAACGTTAATTTTAACCCAAACGAGACCAATAATAAACATTTGACACTTGGAATATAAAATAAACTAACACTCAATAAATCATGAAAACCCAAACATAGTAAAAACATACTAATCAAACTCTATTGGATTTGTAAACACATAAGATTATAACAGAAAAATTGCGCTTGTCATTTGTTTAACTATTAAATAAATGCAATACTTAATTTTGGAAATTAAGAAAAAAAGACAAAAGAATTCTACCACAAAACTTGCTTGGGCAACACAATAACAAAAAAATTGTTAGAAATTTCGCACTACTACGGCAATAAACAATTAAAATAAAAACATCAAAAGCTACAAGTTACATATCCACCTACTGAACTATCTCTTGATGGTTTTCGGCCTCAAAACTGAAAACACATGTGCAGGAACAATCCTACTTGGACACGAACAATAACGACAAAAACGTAGACCAAGACGTTGGCTCCTGCATCAAAATAACAACTCCCGAACTCCATACAGTAATCCCAAATGTTTGGGGGACAGTACGGGACGCAATGGACATTCGCAACCAGCAAACACGGGTGAAGCCACGCCGTTGCTGGTGGCGAAATAAAATCGGCGCAAGGAAACAGAGGCCTATGCGGGGCCCGGGAGCGATGAGTCAATGGGGCTGGGGTCTTTTATACTCATACTCATACTCATTCAAAACATTTTATACTCAGGTAAAGTAGGTATGAGAGATCGTAATTTTTTGACGAAGAGTTATATTGAACGAGGATACAGTTTTATATAAATAAACTACAGAAAGAATTTAAATGCTTTTAAAAGTGAGGGAAACATGGGAAAATATAATTTAGTTCAGATATTTAACCGCAGCCAATCACCACCCTATGAAACAATAGCATACTCTGTGAAGTGATATAACGACAGCTTTGGTGGTCCTATCTCACTAAAACGTCCCTTTATCACAATATGTTCAAATATTCTTACAAAATTATTGTCCAGAACAAGACAACAGTATTGCGAAAATATACAAACCATTCTGCATACAGAGTTTATATAGGTAATAACATAAAACATTATTTTTCTTGAATCCTTTTGAAATAATGCTAATATATTACCTATGTTCAAATATTCATGCATAAGCACTCTCCAAACAAAAACACAAATATAGACACAAATAAAATCAACAATTTGCAATAAAATAAAATGGTGTAAAATACAAATAAAATGCAATAAATGGTAAGCGCCATAACAAGAAACACCTAAACATGGCCAAAACTCTATCCACCAGATAATGTCACGCTGGATAATAATATAAAGAGATTTTTATTATGTATTATATAGTAACGTTAAAGTCATTATCAAAGTTTCCAAATAATGCGCTTAGATAAGCAGTTTAAAGTCCCGATCCAGAATCTATCAAAAGGCTGAACGGTACTATTACCTTACCACAATATTATGTGAGGCCAGTTTGATCCGGGTAGAGAGAAAGAAGTCTTGAAAAATTGGCAGAATAAGAATGTTGAAGTTTCAGAATTTATAAGAATGTTTTCGAGGGAAAAATAAATCAAATAAAAAAAAAAATTGGAAAAATAAACAAAAGATAAAGAAAGAGTGAAGAAAAAGACCTGCAGCACCATGGTACTACGGTTGGATATGAAGGGGATGTTGAAAGTCTGGTTGGAGATGTCTTGAAGGTCGAGAACCCTAAAGCCCTAAATCATCAGACATCTTCCACTTCGCATATTGTTCTGAAGGTTAAGCTACCGCGGTATCAGTGATGCACCGGGGGGTTGCTAAATATCGGCAATCTGCCATAGATCAGGCCATGTTTATAGCGCGCATTGTGGTGTTGTCAATAGGGGTATATCTGCCCGAGTTGGTGATGTGCCGAAGCGCTTTATTTTGCAGTCGCTGCAAAGCTATGTATTGAGTGTTAGATGCGCTGCACCATACCGGGCAACCATAGGTGATTACCGGTCTGATGCAGGATTTGTATAGTGTAATTTTGTTTTCGATTGACAGCGGAGAATTTTTGATGATGGGGGGTATATTGCTTTAAGAGCTTGAGAAAGTCTGGACTTGAAAGAAGTAATGTGGGGGACAAACCTCAGTCTTCTGTCCAAGATAATACCGAGGTATTTTACAGAGCGCCTAGAAACTGCAGTATGGTTCTCTATAGATAGTGGTGAGAAGATTTTATTGTTCGTAAACTTGACAGTGAAGTTGGTCAACTCGGTTTTGCCCGAGTTGATCTTTACCTTCCATTTCTGGAGGTACGGCACAAGAGTACGAACAATGAATATCTTCAGTTGCTCATTGGCAACTGAAGAACTAAATGATGTCGAATAGAGGATGATGTAGTCCGCAGTGCTAACTACTACACCACCGAGGGCATTTTATAAACCTTACCCAAGTATTACCAATATTATTATAATAATATAATTCATAAAAGCTTTAACCTGAGTACGAATGCAAAGAGTTAATATAAATAAATACCTTAATATCGAGGTGATACACTGAGTTCTATAAACAATAAAATGCATGTAAGTTAAAGACAAATTTAAACAAAGTCATACAAAAGGAAACAACAAAACAAAGTTATTTATACCAAGGTGTAACTCAAAATAAAGACAATACAAAATATTAAAATTTAAGATAAATGTAATTCAGTGTAAATGTCGAACGCGACAACATAAAGCTTTGAACTCAGTGTATGCGCGTCTCCAAAGTATTAAACCCAAATAATGAAATAGTGATACAATAAAACTTATAACCAAAATTCAATCGCTATTTACACATATTAAAATGATTAGGACCCAATAAACTAGCAATGATAAACGACATAGACTAAGATGCGTATTAAATAATAATGTTCCAAATTATAGGCAAAAACCCAAGAAAA